ACACGTGCTTCTCTTGGGCCCTGGGGGGATCCTGAGTGCTTTGGGGAGGGGAAAGGCGTGAGGCAGCCTCAGTGAGCCCAAGGCTGGAGCTGCATCCCACAGGACCGGGGGTTTGTTTGCTCTCACCGGGGGAATGTTGTGGTTTTTTACCTTCTTTCGCTTCGATTTGCCATCATCCCAGTTTCATTCATCATTTACTTGCCTAATTAGGCCATTTGCTGCAGGGGAGCATCTCAGAATCCTGCTCCTGGGTCTGTCTTTCCTTGGGTCTTTTCTGAAGGGGTATCACCTCCTTTGGGTGTCTCAGGGTCCCACAGCAGGAAGCAGGACTAACCCTTACCCCTTGAGCCAAGGCCGTTGTCATCCTCAAGCCTGTGGAAGAAGCTCCAGAGCTTCACACAAACCACTCACCTTCATTTTCACCCCAAATATTTTACATCTGGAAAACACAAATGCCTTTTCCATCACTTGCCCTGTCCAGTCCTGAGGACTCCAGGGAGGGCAGTGTGAAGGTGGCAGCCTGGCCTGTTGCTTCCAAAACTGCATTTTTTTTTAACTTAAAAAAAAAAAAAGGGAAGTGGAGAGAAATCTAGTGAGTGGCAAATGTTAGGAGCAGTTCCTGCCCCTTCAAACAGTGGCCAGCAGGGTGCCTGTGAGGAGCACAGCTGTACATGTCCTTCTGCAGAACCTCCTGGATTGGGGGAGAAGAAATGGAGATGTGGGAGAGGGAGAGAGGATGTCAGAACCAGCAACATTCAACTAAAATGGGTTTTTTATCATAGAATTGCAGAATGATTTGGGTTGGAAAGGACTGTTAAAGCTCATCTCATCCCACCCCCTGCCATGGGCAGGGACACCTTCCACCATCCCAGATTGCTCCAAGCCCTGTCCAACCTGGCCTTGGACACTTCCAGGGATCCAGGGGCAACCACAGCTTCTCTGGGCAACCTGTGCCAGTGTTTTACCCACCTTCACTATAAAAAAACTTCTTCCTTATGTATAACCTAAATCAACCTTCTTTTAGTTTAAACCATCCCCCTTGTCCTCTCACCGCAGACCCTGATTAAAAGTCTGTCCCCATCTTTGTTACAGCTCCCCATTCATGATGTAAAGAAATAGGGAGCTGCTTGGGGGGAGGCCTCTGGGCCAAGATACCCTTGGAGGAGAGATGTCCCAGGAAAAATGCAGTGTCCACACTTTTTAAGAGGGGGCCGTGGTGGGGTTGTGTCAGCAGGAGGCTTCTGCCCGAGTCCTCTGAGCCAGGGCTCAGGTTTCTGGTTTTTCCTACTAATTTTCAGAAGCATTTGCAGCACGTGGCCCATATCCATAATTGCACTCCTGGACTTGTTCTGCTCTGATGCATAAATAACATGCACTGTAAAGAAAAAGTGTATGATTACATATTTAATGGATAAACGGAGCCGTTGTGGTCTATTGGCCACATAATAAAAGTTTCCAAAAAAAAATTGTCTTAATACAGTGTTTCCCCAGGAGACTGCCGTGGCTGAAACGTGAGGGAGCTATTTTAAATTTTAAACATTTTTTTAAGCCACGTTTCATAGCCTTCCCCATTTCTACAACACCCATCTTCTAAACTTTTCCGTCATTTAAATTTAAAATAAGGACAATAAATTATTCTTTTCCTTAGCAGCTGGCAGAGCCTCTCCAGCGTGAAAGGTCTGGATTAAAGTGACAAAACCCTAGACAGACATACCTTTTCCACTGGAATTTGGGAAGCAGCTTGCTGCTCGTGCAGCAGATGGGTGCTGAGCTGTCTCCCCACCTTTCATGCCCCTCATCACTGCCTGTCCCACCTTGGCCATTCCCACGACTTCAGCAAATTCAATTGCAAGTGCAGAAATTGCCTTTCTGGTGCCTCCTGTGCTGCCCAAGCCTGGTGTCTGTCCCCGTGGCTGCATCATCCTCAATGTCTTTGTGACCAGGATTTCCCACACCATGGCCAGGAGAGGCCAGAGCTCTGCAATAAGACACATAATGAGGTTTTAAGGGCACATAAATCTTGCCAGAGCAAAGCCAGCCCTGCTGCCTCCTGGACACCACCAAAGCCAAGGGGAGCAATTCAGAGTGGCCTCTAAGTCAGCCCCAGTCAGGCTCCTCCTGCTGTTGAAATGCAAGGCAGCATTTAATTCCTGTGAATGAAATCCCTTCACTTGGTAATTAATACAGAAAAAGGGCAGATCTAGGAAAACTTGTCCCCCTGACACCACTCCTCTGCTGATGGAGAATCCAAAAGAGAGCAGAACATGCTGTGGGGTGTTGTGTAAAGCTCTTGATTGCTGACCTGCAGCAGCAAATCTGGTTTTGCATTCGGATTTGTTTCTTCTGAAGCCTGCCGAGCCCTCACTGGTCTTCCCTGGGTTTCCTTCTGTGTGTGCTGCTAATGGAGTTGGCAAACCTCCCCTGGTAATGAGAGATCACACCTCAGCAGGCTTATCAGGAATGAAGATTGTTAATAAATAAAGCTCGGGTCTTTAAACTCGTGTTAACGTTAATCAGATTAACATGAAAGAGAAAAAGCCTGGAAAACAGTTCAGGCAGGGTTTGCCTCCCTCCCACTCCGTGGCTGGAGGAGGCTGTGTGGGAGCTGGGCTCTGCCTGTGGCACTGAGTTCTGCTGCTGGGGGTGACCAGGCAGGGATGGATCCTGGGGGGAAAATTGGGTTTTCATGGAAAATACTACAAACTGGAAATGGGGTCTTGGAGCAACAAACAGCAGGGTTTGTCCCCATCTCATACTTGCTTCTTGGTGGACAGGGGGTGGACATGCTGGAAGGAGTCCAGAGAGGCCATGGGGATGCTCCCAGGGCTGGAGCCCCTCTGCTCTGGAGCCAGGCTGGGAGAGCTGGGGATGCTCACCTGGAGAAGAAAAGACTCCAGGGAGACCTTGGAGCCCCTTCCAGGGCCTAAAGGGGCTCCAGGAGAGCTGGAGAGGGACTTTGGACAAGGGCCTGGAGTGACAGGACAAGGAGAATGGCTCTAAGCTGAAAGAGGACAGGGTTAGATGGGATTTAAGTTCTTCCCTGTGAGGGTGGGGAGGCCCTGGCACAGGTTGCCCAGAGAAGCTGTGGCTGCCCCATCCCTGGGAGTGTCCAAGGCCAGGTTGGACGGGGCTTGGAGCACCCTGGTCTAGTGGAAGGTGTCCCTGCCCATGGCAGGGTTTGAAATGAGATGACCTTTAAGTTCCCTTCCCACCCAAACCAATCCAGGACTCTGTGATTGCTGCTGCTCCCTCCTGACCCAACCACTTGAACTTTGGTTTATGCTGTGGCACGGGGAATATACACTTCACCAGATATTTTTATTGTGTCTAATGCAGCATTCAGCATTCTTTATTAGACACATATATATATGTTTCATTTCCCCTTCAGATCTTTCAAGGGCAGTGGGCTCAGCAGCCTCAGGAGGCAGCGCCTGTGCCTGCGGCCTGTGCCATGTCCGTGTGTCCCTGCAGCCGTGTGTCATTAGTCACCTTTCAGTCCCATCAGATGTTCCCTCTCTCTCCCATTATGAGAACAGATTAATGGGTATTAGGAAACTCCACATTTTTGGGGACGACTCTGTCACGTGGCCTTTTCCTCTCGTCTCTTACCTCCACACGTGCACACACGTACGTCGCTTCTGGCTCCTTCCTTCTCTGGGAGATCTTAACAAGCAGCTCATAATGTTTTTTTCTCTTGTCTGGACTCTTTTTTTTTATGTTATTTTCTTTATTCCTTTTGAGTGGGATTGGAACAGATTGTAATATTTAAAAATGGAAGAGTCATCTTGAGATGGAGGTGGTGGCCACCAGCAGATCTTGCTTGTGCACCTTGGGGTCCAGTCCAGGGAGAGCTTAGACCCCCTTCCAGTACCTAAGTGCTCCAAGAGAGCTGCACAAGGTCCTGGAGTGACAGGACAAAGAGGAATGGCTTTAACCTGAAAGAGGGCAGGGTTAGATGGGATATTGGGAAAAAATTCCTCCCTGTGAGGGTGGGGAGGCCCTGGCACAGGTTGCCCAGAGAAGCTGTGGCTGCCCCATCCCTGGAAGTGTCCAAGGCCAGGTTGGACAGGGTTTTAAGCAACCTGGTGTAGTGTGAGGTGTCCCTCCCCATGGCAGGGGGTGGAGTGGGATGATCTTTAACTTTCCTTCCAACCCAAACCATTTGCTGATTCTGTGGTTCTATGTTGTGAGAGAAGCTTGGGGCTTCTGGAGCTTGGGGATATACAAACCTCTGGTTTGAGGGTGGTGTCACAGCTTTGGGCAGATTGATGTGGTGGGAGCAGGGACCTGGGGCTTCCACTGATGGCTTTTGTGCTTTCTTGTTCCTAGGTTTAATCCCAGTAGCACAAGTGACCCAACAGCCCTGCAGAGGGTGCAGGGGGGTTGGTTGTGGTACCTTCAGATACTCAGACAAGTAGATATTTTTTTCATCTCTGCAGTTACTAAATGTCAGCACCAAGTATTGCTCAGAAAGACCATGTTTGGGATACACAGCCTCTAATGCTGCATCCCTGATGTACCAGGGCTTGTCCCCCAATACCCTGGCACAACATGTGCCTGTGCTCAGCAATGGCCTTACATCACAGCAGCAAAGCTTGGCCCCAGAAATGCCCAGTAAATTGCAGTGCAGTCCCTTCTCCTGGTGACGTGGCCAAAAATTGCTCATTTATGAACATTTTGTTTTTATATCCCCAATAGATGCCGGGCACCAGTGGTCCCTAAGGCAGGCAGGGGCACCTCCTGGGCATACAGACCTATGTACAGAGGTGATTTAGGACCTCTCTGCAATGTTCATGGGCAGGGGGTTGGCAGGAGCAGAGAGCCCTGGAGGCACAGCGCTCAGCTCCTGCTCTCGGCTTTTTTTGGTAGGAAGAATCTCTCCCATCCACAGAGGACAATTTAAACAATAAATCCATCAGAGCTCATCTTGAAGCGATTTAACAGCGTAATAAATCCACGAGTGCATTTTGTAATGACGAGGTGATCCTCTCCCCACTCAGATCCAGGAGATGGTCCACTCGGACGCCGCATCCTACGATTCCAACCGCCAAGTGCCCCTGCTGAACCGCCCCGGGATGCTGGCCGGCCCCATGGGCGCCCTCAGCCAGTCCCAGCTCATCTCTCAGATGGGGATGAGGAGTGGGGTCGCCCACGGCTCCCCCTCACCCCCAGGCAGTAAGTCAGCTACACCATCTCCCTCCAGCTCCACTCAGGAAGAGGAGACGGAGTCACATTACAAGGTACGTGCCCTGTTGTAACAGCGAGAAAACGGGGGGGATGTTCTTCAGCGAGGGGTAAATCGTGCTAAATAGGCTTTTATTTTGAATATATGGAGTGGGAGACTTCCCCAAGGATGAGGTGACTGTTTCCAGCCTAGGGTGAGGCCCAGCACTCACCCAGAAGGTTTGGAGATGAGAGCTGGGCTTCTGCCTCCACGTTTTGCCGGGTCCATCAAGCTGCAGGGTTTCTTCCTATGAGGATTTTGAGGAGCAAAGCTGGTTCAGGGCTGAGGGTCTGCAAATGCTTGAGGCAAAATTAGATTTTTAGTGGTGGGTAGAAGAGACTAAACCAGGGAAGGAAAATATCCCATGGTGGGATTTGACTGAGCTCACCGGACATGGCTTGCTAAGGTAAAAAAACCCAGAAATTAAAAGAGGAAGAGTCTCTTAGTTCACCCAGGTGGTGTTTTAAGTAGTCATCAATGTCTCAGTGGTCTCTACAGCCAACACAACTGCTGCTGAGCATGGCATGAACAAACCCAAGGAATTCCTAGGGTTTGGGGCACATCTTGGTTGTTGCTCATCTCTCTCAAAATGCACCAGGAGAGCAAACAACACGTGCTGTGCTCCAGGAGTCTGCAGCTGTTGTTTACTGAGGGCAAACTCCAGCAATTGCTGAGTTGCTGCCTCAATACCTGATGTGTCTCTGTGCCTTTGATTAAAGCCTGTCATGGAGAACCCTCTCCTGGAAGGTGCTGACCCAAGGCACTGGGGTTGTAACCTTGTCTCACCAAAACAGACTGTTGTGACAGGATTTGAATGTATAACCAGAGCAGCAAACAGTGCAGACACTGGAAAACTAGGAAAGTGCTAGGACTGGGCAAAAACCTTTCCCTTTCTGTGGAAATCCAGGAAAATGGATTGCCATCAATCCTGTAGTTCTTCATCCATTGGCAGGTTTCACTTTAGACTGGGGCATTTCAAAGCAGAGTGCAAAGGTGGATGCAAAAGCAGCTTCAGTGGAATACAGCTGTAAAAAGAAGGGATACGCATGGTTAAAAATAGATGGAGTTTTTCAAACTCTCTGATTCCATGTTTGGGGTGCACTATAGGATGGGTTATGCTGCTGGACCCCCCAGTCTGCCATCTCCCAAAGCCTGTGTCACACAGCTCCAAGCAATGACCTGGGAGCTGAAATAATTCATGTCAGCAAAAAATTCGTTTCAGCTTAGTGACACACCAGGTTCTCTCTCTGCCTCCATCAGCATCACCAAGCATTTCCTCCCAGCCAGCCAGGAGTCCCTGGAGCTTTGGGGTTGCATCTTCTGTTCTCTTGAGCCAGTGGTGCCCGTGGGAGTAGGAAGAATTTGGAGACGTCCAAATTTGCAGAGATCAGAATTTTTCCTAACCCTTAAGGCAATCCCCCTCGTTTTTTCTGCCCTGTAAACTCCCCATCAAGACAGGTGGGACAGCAGTGATGTGTTTGATGGAGGAGGAGACCCTAAATGTCAGGAAAGCAGCAGAGCTGTGTTGTGGCCTGCAGGTTTCTGTTTGCTTTCTCTGTCTGCACAGCTGCTGCATTCACCCACCAGTCATTTTTCATGTGGCCATTAAGGGCTTTTCTGCAACAGGTCATCAAAGCAACGTCTAACAAGCAGAAATTCATCTTGTGAGGAAGAAGGTCACACATTAAAGAAATGGGTCTGATGCCAGCAATTACTTCAGGTCCAGCAGGTCCTCTGAGCCAGGGAGTTGATGATTTTAGGAGGTCTCCCAGCCCCATTGGTGCATTTACCTGCTTCACTGCTTTGGGGTACACGTGCATGGGAAGGAGAGGTGGTTACAGCTCAAATTCCAGCTGGATTAGTGGTCGCCCTCCATAGTTATTAAAATCACAGTGTCCGTGTGGTTCCAGCTCTTCATGGGCTCAACATCTAAGAAGGCACTGAGGTTATGGGATCATATCTGTCACCAGTGAATTGCCCCACATCTGTCCACATCTGGTGTCAAACAGACTTTCTGATGCCTCTCCAGGGCAAGTCCATACTCTTCATCCTGCTGCCCGAGCCTTCATGGTCCCTTTGACCATGGGGGATGACCCTTGGGGATGACCCTTGGGGGTGCTCTGGGACAGCAAGGCTCTGGCTCATTGGAGTTTGGCTTTAGCCATGAATATGGCTTAGGTTGTTCAAGCATCTTGAAAGGGCCAGGGCCAGGCTGTTGTCTTATCCCAGCTGCATCACAGCTGGAAAACCCCATGAAAACCAGGCAAAGTCCTGATCTGCTCTGCTCCCTCCTGGGCACTGACAGCTCCTGGCAGCCTCACAGCATCTGTTTTTCATAAATCCCATGTGCTCTTGGTGCTGCCTGAGCAGGACTGGCTATAACCCTGCCTGGGGTTGTGTTGGTCCTGTTCCAGCTCCTTGGCGTGGTCGATGGCTGTGAGGGAGGAGGTTCCCCTGTAGCATTTCAGCGAATCAAACAGGATCACAGTTATTTAAAATACCATCTCACTTCCTAATGGGCTGAAGCCCTGTCATGCTTTTTTTTTTTCTCCTAATAAGCTGGCCTTTCACCTCCAGGCCTCCCATTCAAGCCCAATTGGGCAATTTTAAATTAAATGCAATTTTTTTGAGCTCACTGCTCATTCACTAATGGTCACTGTCTGTTTGACAAATGTCACTGCGTTGATACTGAAATTAATGGCCAGTCAAGAGCTGCTGAGGGGGGAACAGGAGCAGTGCTGCCCTTTCCTCCCCGTGCCTGCCCTGTGCCAGCTGAAGGGAAGCCTCTTAAATCCTGGCACTGCCCAGTATGTGGTTAAATCAACAAATCCATCAGGAGAGGAGGCTGTTTACTCCCAGCTCAGCAGGAGGAAGTGTGTTAACAACATCTTGATGTTTAGACCTGTGTCTTTTTAAGTGATACAACCACCTGTGCAGCTGGTGGAGCAGGGACTGACACAGTTGGGTGCTGGCTGAGCACTCAGTGCTTGAGCTCAGGGCCTGCAGGTGGAGGGGCTGGTGCCCCATTTGCCCTCCTCGGTGCAGAGATCCAGCCTGCAGCAGGCAGTGGGTTTATTCTCTGCCATGTTTAACCTCCAGTGTATTTAGTTTTTCCTTCGCTGTAAAATAAGGATAATGGTGCTTTCCTGTAGTGTGAGCTTTCACTGACCACACGTAATGTGTTAAGAGCTTTGATGGATGTCCAAGTGCTTTCTAGGGGTATTTTCCTTCTCACACCCTCACATGGAGACTTCTGCACTCCCTTATATTCATAGAATCGTGGAATATCCTGAGCTGGAAGGGACCCCCAGGGATCATCAAGTCCAACTCCTGGCCCTGCCAAGGAGACCCCAACAATCCCACCCTGTCCCTCAGAGCATTGTCCAAACCCTCCTGGAGCTCTGGCAGCCTTGGGGCTGTGCCCACTGCCCTGGGGAGCCTGTTCAGTGCCAACCACCCTCTGGGGAAGGACCTTTTCCTAACACATTGCACAGGTGTCCTAATATAGGCTGATGTAGGATCTTCTTTCTGTGCTACCTTCACTGGAAGCATCCCTGTTTCCTGACCTGCTGTTCTACTTCCCAGCCCAGTGGCAGCATCTTGTGCTGAGCAGCCACAAAGTCCAGCTCCTGTTGCCTTTGTGCTGCTCCCCTTGGTTCCAACACCCTCAGGGCACTGAGCATGGGTACAGCCAGTCCTGGTCATCCAGCTGCACCCAGATGGGTTCTAAAAGTGAACGGCGCATGCAAAGCATTTCATTCATAAGATTAAAATAGTTCCATTCCTGGATATTTTTCCTGGGTAGGGGTACATACATGTTAGCAGGGGGAAGCAAATTTTGGATGGCCCCAGTGTGATGATTAATGTGATGCTGGTGCTGCTTGGTCAGTGCTCACAATCCTCCTGGGAATGGGGGCACTCAACCACTGGCACACACATGGATAAGGGAAATCAGGAGCAGCTTGCAAAGGGGGCTTATTGGGGTGGAAACCAGAAACCATTTGGAAGCCAACTTTGGAAAAATTCGTGGACGGGTAAAGGGATATGGCTGGGAAACAAAGCATTTGGAGAGGTCCCAGAAAAGTATCAAGGAGTGAGTGAACTTGTGGTGCCAGGGAGGAGGAGGGGGAAGGAGGGTGACCAAGGGTGAGTGTCTGGAAAGCCCTACTTTTGGAGCAGGTACAGAGGGATGAACCCAAGCTGTGAGCTGGTCTGAGTGGAGTCACCAAGCCAGGCTCAGGCACCCACCAGCAGTTTGTGTAGTGATCCAAGAGGCTCCTGGGGCCAAAGAGACCCTGAGGGCTGCTGCCCCCCCCCTCTCCATGCTGGGATCCCTCCCCTTGCCATTCCCCCTCTCTCTCATCTCCTTGGCTGTAGCAGGGACTTGTATCTGACCGCTCCCAGCTGACTGCTATGGTTCACCTCATGGTTTTGCAGGCTACTGGAGAGAAAAGACCATCAACAGACCTGGGCAAAAAGCCCAAAAGCCAAAAGAAGAAGAAAAAGAAGGACCCCAATGAGCCCCAGAAGCCCGTGTCAGCCTACGCCCTGTTTTTCAGAGACACACAGGCAGCCATCAAAGGGCAAAACCCCAATGCCACCTTTGGGGACGTGTCCAAAATTGTGGCATCCATGTGGGACAGTTTGGGAGAAGAACAAAAACAGGTGAGTTACTGATTTATTTACTTTTTTTTTTCTTTCAGCCATTGAAATGTGTTTTTCCATGGCACAGAGCATCTCCCCAGGCACATTCAGAGCGTGGCCAGGCTGGAGTGTGTGGTCAGGAACAGAGGCTGTTTTCAGGAGCAGTGCTGAAGTGCCCACTGTGCAAAATCGCTGTTGTTGCCTTGGGAAGAGCAAATTTTTATGACAACTAATTATTCTTGATAAGTTCATACTCTGCAAAAGCATCAGTGGCCTTTCCCTGACCTGGAGTTTTACAGCCTTAGATGGGAGATGGGTTTGTATTTGCTTATTTACTTACAAGGAGTGACAGTAAACTGGCTAAACACTATTAACTCCCTATATTGCTGCCTTCAAATCCAACATTCAGGCTTTAAAACCTTTGGAAGGAGATGTCTGTAGTGGCCTCACAGAGGAAACCTTCCTGCCCCAAAGCTGTCAGCCACTTTCCGTTTGCTTCATTCACGGAGAATTCTGTGTCCTGCTTTCACTGTTTTGTTGCTGCTGAGTCTGTTACAAAAGCCTGTAATTGCTTGTTGCCTATTGAGAGAACCCCAGGGAACACTTCCTGTAGCAAGGATGGCTTTTTTATCAAGCAGAGTGAGATCTGACACTGTGGGATGTGTCCTGGATCCAAACAGGCTTTGTCTGGGAGCCCTTCTCCTAGAGCCTGGCTGCCAGCTCCTGTTGGGTGTCCATGGCCAGCATTGGAAGCACCTATGTCTGGAGAAGGAGCAGCAGGGAGGAAAAAAGCCATTGAGCTGGAATTCATGCTAGGAAATAGCCTTGCTTTCCACCCCACAACACGTTGGGAATACGAGCAAGGCATCTTCTGGGATGGAAGCCCTTCTGCTGCTCCATTTGCAGCCTCCATTCTGTGCAAAGTGGTGCTTTGATGTTCTCATGATCCTCTTTGACTGGATCCCTGGTGGATCATGCAGGCAGGAGTTCCTCATGCTGAAGAGGGGAGGAAGGTCCCTGCTTGTGCAGCAGGGTGACCCCAGCCCTGGGCAGCTGCGGGGCAGGGTCTGGGTTTGGGCTGTTGGGGCAGGGTGTGGAGGTTCAGGAGCATGGAAAAGCTTTCTGTCACCTCTTTCCCCTGCTTTCATCCCTCCCAACATCTCGTTCTGCCTCTGCATTGCTCTGCCTGGTTACCAATGTCTCCGTGGTTTGGGCACTGAGCTCGGCTGCAACTGTGGCTCAGAGAATGGAAGCACTGGTGCGACCCTGACTCAGCGCAGTGCAAATGCTCAGCTCTTAATTAACAGCAGGGATTAAACCAGCCCGTTTATCTTCCCTGCTAACTCTCCCTCCTTCTCTTTTATGAGCTTGCAGCAGCCTTGCCGTCTCTTTACACACACGCTTTCTAAGTGGCTCCATTTCTCCCTCTGTAATTGATTTAATTAAGTCATTTGTTCCTTGTCTGAATGCTTAAATATTAACTTCCTGGCTTTGTCTCCAGCTGGATACTTCTCTCCCACAACAGTTACCTCCCTGCCCGGGACTCTGGCTGGAGGGACTCTATTTATCTTTGGCTCTGGGACCGTGTGGCTGATTTGTGCAATGTGGCACGTTCACTCTTGAAGTGTCTGGCTGCAGGAGAGTTTATTTAGTCCCTGTTTGCTTTCCTCCACCAGCATCCCCAGACAAGTTGGGTTTTTTTTTAGATTCACAAGGCAATGCAATGGAAAGGGAAAAAGGAAGAGAAAATTTAAAAAGCGTTAACAAAATGTCTTTAATATGTGAAAAGAAGTACCTGGGCTGTGCTGTAGATCTTTCCTGCCAAGGGCTGCAGGACAGGGTGCACACATTCCCAAGGAAGGCAGGCAGCCCATGCTGAGAGCTCTCCTGGCACATCTGGAGAGGGGACAGGGATGGAGCAAGACAGCCACGTGCCACTGGCCAAAATCCTACTGGGAGCTGGGAGTCCAGATTCCCACATGGCTGTGCCAAATCGTGGCTCAGCTCATTGCCAGGCAGGAGCATCGTGCTCTGGGAAGGAGTGGAAATCAGGAAAAGGGAAGTGTTTCATCTGGGACGCTGCTCTTAGCTTTGTTGACAGCAGTGGCTTCATGTGCTCACTGCAGAGAGCAGTGCAGAGGACAGGAGGGAGCAGCCAGTACAGGGATGGCACAGCAGGCAAGCAAGAGCCAAATCTGGGCGTTCTGCCTCAATTATGACCAAGGCTTCAGTTCAAGAACACTTCCCCTCTTCCTCACACAAGAAAAGAGGGTGGATTTGAGGCTGTAGGATCCGATCTGGAGCTTGTCCCACACTTGGATCTCTCACAACCCCCAAGATGCTCATGGTGGGGCTGGGGCATCCCATCTCCAGAGGGGCAACATGCAGAGCCCAGCCCCACCAGGCATTATTACCAGTTGTTTCCATCTCTGCAATTTCTGCTTCAGGTGACTTTTACAAACCTTATTCTTCACTTTCCAATGGGCCGAGAGTTTCTTCAGTCCTGAATGTGTTTTGTTTTCCTGCCTTGTGGGAGAGCAGCAGGCAGGGAGCAACCAGGGAGGGGCTTCAAGGGAAGCTGGTCCATAAACCCACCTGCAGCCAAGGTGTTTTGGACTTGTGATTCCCCTGGCACATGTCCTGCTGTCCCTGCACTGTGCCCATCAATCATCCCATCACAGGGGTTGCACAGAGGTGGAGTGGCCACCGTGCCAGTGCCAAAGGGATGAGGAAAGCCCTGAGGAAAGTGCTGGTGGCTTGTAGCCATGCTAGCCAGTGCCCTGGGCTGGGATGGATGGCTCTGTGCCCCCTCCAGAACCTCAGCCCCTCTCCAAGGGAGCTACATGGAGCATTTCTGCCATCAGCAGTGAGATGCCACCCCTTTGCCAGGTGGCCCTGCCCAGCACACGGAGGGTTAATCCTCTGCCATTTGTGCTGCTAATGATTATATGCACTGTAATATCAAAGCTGTAGCTATTTATTTGCCATTGAGCAGGTGCTGCTGCTCCCACAAAGCAAATTTGCTTTCTCCTCCTGATGAAACAAGCAAAATAAAGGTTGCTCACGTCCCATTTCAGATATGTTTTTTTTTCCCTGTGCACCAGCTGAAAGACAAACACAGAGAGGGAACCAGAATGCATATTATGCAAGAAACCATATAATCTAGGAGCATCTTTGATTTGGCTGCTGCTGTCACAGACATGCATTTCACAGTGAGGCTTTTCCCCCCCTCCTTCCTTTTGTTCTTACTGGTTTATCATTTGTGCCTTTGTCATTTTGTTCCTTCTTCTCAGCCTCTTCACAATGAATCTTCATTTTCCCTCTGACACACTTGTATCTAAATTTCCTTATTTCCTGCCTTTTTTTATTTATATCTGTTGCCTGGTGATTTGATCATGCTGTGGAATACAGGATTAGCAATCTCCGTGTCCTTGGGTACTGCTCAAGGACACCTGTTCTGCAAAGCTCCGTTTTCTTCCCCACTTTAACCCCTTCCAGCGTGTGGAACAGTAATAAATAACAATACCTTGAAATATCTCCAGCTCTGCGTTGGCAGGACATTGTAATCTTCATTCTTCAACAGCTGGCGTGGCCCTTTCTAAGAAGCTTACACGGGAATCTGAAGAATGTGACTCGGGGAAAAAAAAATATTAATACATCCTCTTTGAACTTTGCAAATAGTTTAGCAGCTGTTCCTGCACAGATAGCTTAGACTCTGCTGGAGAGGGAAATGCTAATTCAGCCATTAGCATCAAATGGGGTACCTGTCCTAGGAATCTGCCTGCAGCTCCGGGTCCCAGCTCCAGGCTCCTAGAATCCTGTGCCTCCTGTGCTGGAAGTTTTTTCATTAGCAGATCTCAACACAGATAGGTTAAAAAGGGCTGCCTGATTTGACAGAAATTAGAGGATTTTGAGGACTAGATTGGAGCAAGCTCTGCTAATTCACTAGGAAGGATTTTTCCCCGGCACGGGTGGGATGCTGGCAGGCTGGTCCCAGTCCATGCCACTCTTAGCCCCCTCATCTCCTTCCATGGGGCCACCAGCAGTGCCATCTCTGCTCAAGAGCTGGTGACACCAGCCCTGGTGGCTGTCCTCCCTCAGGGGGATTTCCTGTGGGTGATAAGCCTGGAAACTCTCTGGAGTGTATTGAGGAGTCACTGGTGGGATTCGCTCTGCTGTGTTCTTATTCCCTTTCTGGGCATCTTCCCGTTGTGGGGGAAAGGACTTTGGGTTGGAAACTGGTGATGTTGGAGCATGGGATATGCTGCCAAGGTGGCATTTGCAGATGTCTCTGGAACCTGCTTCTTTTGATCAGGAAATCCAGTCATAAAGTCAAAGCATTGGGTCGGTGTTTCCCTTAAACCCTGGAAATTCAGGGCAGAGGAATCAAGGAACTCCAGAGCAACCTGCTGAGTGAACCCCAGGCTAACCCAGGACTTCCCATCCAAAATGAGCAGAAGCTGGACAAAACCAACATTTCCAGTTGAGTTTATGAGTCTGGAGACTCACTGGGGACACAAAGGTGCTGGGGATAGCAATAGCCCTGCTTCACCAGGACCAGTTCAGTAATGCCAGGTTGCTCAGTGGCCAAATGCATTTGGGGTTTTCCCAAACAAATGCACAGCCTTGAGAACTGCACAGCTCCAGGGGTAAAGTCACACTCCAGGGGTAAATTACGCAGCAGAAAAATTGCTCACTCAGCAGAAAATAATAGATCACCCATTTAATCAGATCCATCTGCTCACTGAACCTGATACCTCACCTGGTGACAGGGCACTGCAGGTATCTGCGGTGGGACAGAGGCATCTCGGGCCAACTGTAAAGCTGTTTTATGGAAGAGCCATCACAGGGGAGAGATCCCATGGGAATGGCACGCAGCAGGTGCTGCACACTGGCCAATTCCAGCACTGGAGTCAGTGCTGTCAGTGCTGGAGCCACCATGGGTTGGTGGCTCCTGCAGCCCCAGAGCCCTGGCAGTGAGGGGCTGAAGGGTCCAAGCAGTCACTCTGGCCTGAAAGGAGGTTTCAGCATCTTCTGAGCATCAAGGAAAGCTGGAGAAGCATCAAAGCACCAATCCCAAGCAAGGTTTCGAGAGAGGTGTGGTGGAGAGCGGGACAATGATAGAGAGGATGTGAGGGGTCAGATCTTCTCCTAACAGCAGCTCCAAGAGTGTGACTTCTCTTCTTGGAGAGAAAGACCAGAAGTGTGGAAACATGAGTGTTGTGTGCTTTTCATTGGAGATTAGGGGTTGGGTCTGTGAGCCTCCTCCTCTGTTTCCTTCGGAGTCTTCCATGGGCTGCCCTGGGAACACTCTTGGTGCCCTCACATGGAGTGATGGGTGACTTACACCCTGGCGGCACCATGAAGTCAAGGCAGAGGAAGGCAGGAATCTTTCAGGATGCTTTAATCATTGCTAATTGCTGCTTGATTACAGGTCCATCCATTCATTGTCCAAAGGACTACTTCACAGCACCATGTCTCCGCCAGGATAACGGGAAAGCTCTCCTGAAACCGTGCAAATAGTTCCCATAGCCAGGGCCTTTCCAGGGGGTGTGACTGACCCCAGTCGTGACTTTCGAGTCATCCTGTGAATAAGCCATAAGTTATGGTGATCCCAAGACATATATTGCAGGAAAGTGTATAATAGTGAGAAGAAAAAACCTCCAGATTTACAAGCAGAATAAAACCCAAATTTATACATTTGGGAGAAAAAAAAAAACCCAGTCATGGAATCATAGAAAGGAGAGCAAGGAGGGGCTTAAGAGGTCAACCAGACCATACTGCTGCCTGAAGTCAGGATCATCTCTACTTAAGCCATTCCTGATGGATGTGTGCCTAATCTGTTCTTAAACCCTCAATGGTGGAGATTACACATCTCCCCAGGCAATCTCTTCCCCGTGCTTAATTATCCTTACTTTCCAGTGCTTAGCCAACATTTCCCTTGTTACAATTTAAGCCTATTGCCTCTTTTCCTAGATGAACAGGATCACTTTGGTTGTGTTTGGACACGTGGCTACTCTTGGCCTTCCCTCCCAGAAATCCTCCCTGAGACCTTTCCTCCACTATCCATCTCCTCTCTCCTGACAGCCTGCCTCTTTTTTGGAGCGAACTCCACCTGGGATTGAAGCAGAGAGACCTTTCCGCTTGACATCAGTGCACCCCTTGATGCTTTGGGGGAGAGTTTGGAGTTCTTTCCATCCTTCCCCAGGCCTGGGAAGCAGCATTCCTGCTGGAGCAGGCGGGCTGGGATGCAGAGGTTGCCAATAACAGCTCCGGCTGTCACTCAGTGCCTGCGTGACACGGAGCCGTTCGTGGGCGTCAGCGGGGTTTGGAATAATTGTCTCCTCTAATTAACTGGTTATCAAACAAGAACATTTCATTACAGTACAATTACTGGCTGCTTTGCTGAGACACAGAGGTGTCAGGATTACGATCCCAACATATGCTTCTTACAGCTCTGATTTTTTGTTTTCATAATCACTAACCGTTTTTGCTTCCTCCCCCCCCCCCTTCCCCAACCCACCCACTCACTTAATGACTAATGAATCCTCCTGCTAATGAATAAGGAAAATAAATCAGTGGGCATGGCAGGTTAGAAAGGAAAACATGCAAAATGTTTTGAGGATCCTTAAATCTGATAAATTACTTTGAAATTAAAATCCCTGGGAGAAAATGGGATTTAATTAGAAAGTAACATGGTTTTGTCAATGTTTAAATTAAAATTTTAAAGGTTATAAATGAGGCACTAGAGCTGCCTTTACACAGAGGATTCGTGGGAAGTTTTGTTCGGATCTGCTCTTCCCACGTCAGCGTGGCAATTCCCCAGGGACAGGCAGCTGGGTGCCCTGGGTGGAGCACTGTGTGGGTGCAGAAAGCCCCCATGGTGGGAGCAGGACTGCAAAATTCTCATCAGGAGACCTTTAGGGGTGATTCTTTACAGTGAGGGTGGGGAGACCCTGGCACAGGTTGCCCAGAGAAGCTGTGGCTGCCCCATCCCTGGAAGTGTCCAAGGCCAGGTTGGATGGGGCTTGGAGCAACCTGGTCTAGTGGAAGGTGTCCCTGCCCATGGCAGGGGGTGAAACTAGATGGTCTTTAAGGTCCCAAAACCATTCCATTCTAAACCCAAACCATTCTGTGATTTTATGATTAAAAATCAGATAATCCACGGGGAACCTTCCAGAGCTGGAGGGAGCTCAGGGGGTCATCGGGAGAAAGCACCACCTGGGCTCTCCCTGTCACCCTTCTCAGCAGCCCTGCCCGTGGCCAGGCTTGAGCCAGGGCTGTCCCAGCAAGCCTGGAGGCTCCTGCTTGGAGCAATCCCCTGTTCCCTTCAGCAGGATGTGCCACTTGGCTGCCCTTTCCCAGCCTTGCTGCACCAGGCACCGCCCGGCAGCACATCCCAATTCAAGGGAGGTCCAGTGCCCCCTCACGCCCTAAAAAAAGACAAGGGCAGATGAAAAGTGGCAAAAAAAAGGGGTTTAGCACATAAAGCAAGTGGTGGGGGTGAAGATAGGCAAAGACTTTATGGGTTATTCATTTATTTGCATTTGGGTTTAGGAAGTCTCATTTACCTGCCCTCTCACTGTCCAGAAATTGCAGTTTTTTCTCCAGGCAAGTCTTCCTGATAACTGAATTTGGCTCTGCATAGCTGTGAATACTTTGATTTCTGACCATCTCAGGGTAAAAAAAAAAAAAAAGAAAAAAGGGAAGGGAAGGTTTGGGAAGGTTTAGAAAGAGGAAAGAGGAAAGGAAAGGAAAGAGGAAAGGAAAGAGGAAAGGAAAGGAAAGGAAAGGAAAGGAAAGGAAAGGAAAGGAAAG